GCCTCTGGCCAGCTGCTGGCGTCCCCTCCTCCCGGTCTTCAGGTCACTTCTCCATCTTGCCACCAGAGCAGGAGCCTCAACATTCCTTGGTGAGCTGTCTTGCTGTAGGCACGTCACATGAGAAACCAGCCTGCCAGCAAATGCCCCACGGAAATTTCCAATCCCCCGATTGCATTGAGGGGCCGCAGAAGATCTGGGGCACAATAGGACCCTCAAAGGTCGACAAATAATGTCCCCGAAGATATCTCATAGCAAGATGTATGGTCGCTTGTGTCTACTATAGTTTTCTGGTGCCTATCGGGGGACAAAAAGAGGAGTGGGTGTGGGGATGGGCACGCAGAAGGAGGAGGAGGAGGAGGAGGAGGAGGAGGAGGAGGAGGAGGAGGAGGAGCAGTCGGAGGAAGAGGGGGAGAGGGGGAGGAGGGGAGGAGGAGGAGGGAGGAGGAGGAGGAGGGAGGAGGAGGAGGAGGAGGAGGAGGAGGGGGAGGGGAGGGGAGGAGGAAGAGGAGGAAGATGGTGCGGCTTGAGAGAAGCACAGGCTGCCATGTGCGGCCTCGAGGCCTCGAAGAGAAGGACTGGCGGATACGGTCCAGCGCACACGGGCTGCACAAGATCGCGCTGCAGGACTGTGCCCTGGACTTCGCGGCCTTCTGGCGGCTGGTCGGCAGCCTCGACGACGCTCTGCCGCTGTCAAGCCTGGACCTGCGCTGCAACCCGATCGGGCGTGGGACGCGGCGCTGCTGGCACGGCACCATGGGCCCAACGATAAGGTGCGAGGTCTTGCTGAGCGATCACCCCCTGAAGGCAAAGAGGGCGAGGCAGCGGGAGGGCACTGAGGATGACACGAGCTGGTTCCCCCTGCCGTGCAGATGGTTCTGAAGCCGACGTGGGGCGCTGCCAGTGTGGCAGGCAAGCCCGAATGACGTTGAACCTGGACCCCCGACGTCGTTTTTTCCCCCCAAGCGCGGGCTCCAGAAGCTCTCGACCCATTCCACGAGAACAGCTTTTCATCCTGAGTCGTTGTCTGACGGTCCCGAGGCCTGGCGAGGGCCCGCAGAGGCCGAAGATGCCAAAAAAAAATCTCCCGTCGTCAGTTGTCACGGCGCCAGGGGCCCCGGGAACGTCCGAGAGACGCTGAAGGGCGCAACCTGTGGAGAACCCGGCGGGCCGCCGTGTTCGCTCGCGGCGGGCGCCGCGTCTACGCGGGCTGCCCCCCCCCCCCCCGAGGCTGGCCGCACACATGCCGGGCCACCTGCCCAGCTCTGAGCAGCTCGAGACGGTGGCAGGAGGGGGAACCTCGAAGAACAGACAGCTGCATGGAGCATAACTTATCGGACCTCCGCGCGGGCTGCTTGGATCGGCGCTGGGCCCCCTGGCGGCGCCTCCTTGCGCCGCCCCTGGCGCGCTCCGCGCGCCAGGGAGGAGGGCATAGCGCGGATCCCAAGAAATCCGCGCGCGCCTCCGAAAGTTTGTGGTCATGCCGTTTTCTGGGCTTCTAAACCCAGAGACTATCCCGCCGAGACTTGCTGGCGTCGGAAAAATAAGCTCGCCATCTGAGGGTTGGAATCCTGGGTGCTGAGAACAATCAGATGGCATTTCCCCGCTCCCCCGCCCCCTCTTCAAACAGCGCTGGGCCGAAAAATGTATGCAAGAGATTCCCGACTTGCGTGGAGTCCAGATTTCCTTTCGAGCCTCGCCAATTCCCCCTCCCCTCCCCGCGCAAGTCATGCAAGTGAACTTGCCAGAATCTGAAAGGAACCGGCTTTCAGTGCCTGTCAATCCTGATCCCCAGACGCCCGTGCGTGCCCGGAGACCTCCAGAGGCCTGAAAAGAATGCTAAGCGTCCGAATAATTGCCCAGAATCTTCCTCGCAATCGAGCCCTTAGCGTCGAGTGCAGAAGTCAGCGTGCCCGTGCTGGCGCATGAGCTTTTCTTCGCGGCAGCAGCGGCACGCGGCAGCGGAGACGTCCACACCCAGATATGCGACGACATGTTTTTCAGCCCGCGCCCCCAACATGTCTGACCCCTTCCACAGCTGCAGTCCTGTACACGATGTTGACGCCCTCGGTGCCCGAACACTGCCCCCGCAGGCCACTGTTGGGGAAAGGCACCCGGATTGGGACAATCACATTCTTGAGGTCGACGTCGCGAAATTTTGTCTGACGAAGGACCCTACCAGATGCAGGTGCGAGTACCGCGAGGGAGATGAGACGAAGGAGGGGGGCGCGCAAACTCCGAGTAGCGCACGCTGTGTAGCCTTCTGCCGCGACATGTGTGAAGGGTGTGCTGACATGAGTCGGGAGGACGCATGCGAACGTCGCGATTGGGGTCTTCCATGGAGCTCCCTTTGGGGCCACGAAACGTGTGAGGGGTGTGCCGAATTGGAGCGGCGGTGCCATGCGAACTTTCCCACAGGGGCCTGAGGTGGAGCCCCCTAAGGCCGCGAAACGTGGAGGGGGGTGCCGAAATGGGGCGGCGCTGCCATGCGAACTTTCCCTCAGAGGCCTTCGGTGGAGCTCCCGTTGGGGCCACGAAACGTGTGAGGGGTGTGCTGGAATGGGGCGGCGGTGCCATGCGAACCTTCCCACAGGGGCCTTCGGTGGAGCTCCCTCGGGGCCACGAAACGTGTGAGGGATGTGCCGAAATCGGGCGGCGGTGCCATGCGAACTTTTCCACTGTGGCCTTCGGTGGAGCTCACTGTGGGGCCACGAGCCGTGTGAGGGGTGTGCCGAAATGGCGCGCTGGTACCATGCGAACCTTCCCACTGGGGCCTTCGGTGGAGCTCCCATTGGGGCCATGAAACGTGTGAGAGGGGTGTGCCGAAATGGGGCGGCGGTGCCATGCGAACCTTCCCACTGGGGCCTCCGGTGGAGCTCCCTGTGGGGTCCCGTAACATGTGAGGGGTGTGCCGAATTGGAGCGGCGGTGCCACGCGAACTTTCCCACTGGGGCCTCCGGTGGAGCTCCCTATGGGACCACGAAACGTGTGAGGGGTGTGCCGAAATCGGGCGGCGGTGCCATGCGAACTTTCCAACTTGGGCCTTAGGTGGAGCTCCCTGTGTGGCCACGAGCCGTGTGAGGGGTGTGCCGAAACGGCGCGGCGGTGCCATGTGAACCTTCCCACTGGGGCCTTCGGCGGAGCTCCCGATGGGGCCACGATGCGTGTGAGGGGTGTATCGACATGGGGCGGCAGTGCCATGCGAACTTTTCCACTGGGACCTTAGCTGGAGCTTCCTGTGGGGCAACGAAGCGTGTGAGGGGTGTGCCGAAAATTGATGGACATGCGGAGAGCCGAGGCAGGGAGGGGAAGAGGGAGGAGCGGGAGGAGGAGAGTAGGAAAGAAGGAGGAACGCGGGGCGCTGTCTTTTCAAAACGAGGACCCAACACCACAGGATGGTTCGGAAAGAGTTTCAACATCGGAGAATTCACGACCGGAGCCCTAGACCCCATCTTTCGGCGGTATTGTTCGAGCCGTATCTACTTGCGAATGGGAACAAAATGCTGCGCGAGGATTCGTCGTCGTCGGTCCTCCGCGTTCCCCGCTCCTCGCCCCTGCGAGCAGCGCCCACGTCGAGGACGCGCGTCCATATCGGCTAGACGCTGAGGGGGGTACGGGGAGGGGGGAAGGCTGCTTAGAAGCACCCCTGCTTCTTGGAAGGCGCGGGCCTTATCTATAGATGTAGGGCTGGCGCCTTCTAAGAAGCAGCCTCCTTCTGAGAAGCTTGCCCCTGCCTCTACCGCCAACCGTACCTTTTCGGAGATCCGCGCGGATCCTGGGTCGGTGCTGGGAGCCTCTTCCCGCATCCCCTTCCCGCCAGGCAGAGCGAGCGCGCGGGGAGCGGGGGGGGGGGGCGGCGCGGCTGGAGGCGCCGCCGAGGGGCGCTGGGAGGTGCGTCCAGCGCAGGCCCCAGAAATCCGCGGAGACCCCAGAAAGAGTTGATGTTGGTAAGCTGTTGTTTGGCTTGCCACTCTGACGGTACCCACTCCCCCCTCCCTTTTGTCATTCCCATTCCCTCCACACCCCTCCCGAGTCTCCTACGTCACTCCCCTCTCTGTAGTCTGCTGGTTCTCCACTCCAGGAGTTCCTCTTCTGCGACGAGCTGGGCACGTTCGCGAAGGAGGACCGAACTGGCCCTGCCTCAGGAGGAGGAGGAGCCAGCAGCAGGGGGGATGAGGGGTGGAGCGGGAGGGGCAGGGCGAAGGAGGGGGAGGCGGAGTGAGGCGGAGGAGCGGGGGGAAGGCGGAGGGAGGGAGGGAGGGAGGTGGAGGAGGAAGGAAGGGAGGACGAGGAGGAGGAAGGAGGAAGGAGGAAGGAAGGAAGGAGGACAAAAAAAGCGAAGGGCAGCCCCCCCCCCCCCAGAGTCCTCCCCCCCGTGTGCGCGTCGGCCCCAGCCCCTCGCGGCCCGAGGCGAGGTCTCGGTGTCGGTCGGCGACCCGCCGCGGACCCCGCGCCCCTCGGCGGCGCGCGCCTGCTGGTCTGTACTCGCAGGCCGTGGCCCCGTGGGGTGCTGGGCGGTGGGCGGCACTGCTCGGATGCCCCGCGCGGAACGCATCCACGGGGATCGCGTGTCCGTGGGATCGCGCTTCGCCGCCCAGACCCCGAAGGCATGGGCCCAGACGCCAGGCAAAGTGGTCTGTGCAGCTCCCGCGGGTCCCAGGAAGGTCTCGGGCCCGCCCGCGGGGGCAGCTTTCCGTCCAGACGGACGCAACTGGGGTTGCCCATGAGCCCGAAAACGGCTCGAGCTCAAACGCAACGAACATCTATAAGCCATTTGTTCTGCTGGGAGCGGTCTCCCCCCAAGAACGCGAGGCGGGATCCCCCCAGAGCACCATGCCCCTTGGGCCCTTGGGGCCTGGCGGCAGCGGTACAGTCAACCCGCATTAGTAAGGATGAGCAAGCTTCCAAGGTTACAGTACTCTTGAATCCTTCCTTGGCAGCTTCGGCCGCTTTCGCTGGCCGCGCCCCGCCCACAAAGTGTCGACGTGGCCTTCCAAGGCCCAGGTATCCTTACCGTGCGTCCTTCTGATACAGGTTGACTGTATGTTGTCGGCACTCGTCGAAGACGCGAGGCGAGATCCCCAGGGAACGCTGGGCCCCTTACTCACGTAGGGTCTGGCGGCTGAGGTACGCAGGGTGTGCGAGAAAGGCCGGGTCGGGAGCTTTGCTTTTTTTCAATCTAACAATCCCAGCCGGTCGAGCTGGAAAAAAGCACGCGGCTGGACAGACCAGTCCGCCAGAGACCTCGGACATTGTCCCAAACCCCCGACGTCATGATTTTCTCATGTCGTGGACCCCTGGGGGTCTCGACCCACTCCCCGCGACCAGCTGTTCATCCTGAGTCGTTTTTGTTCGGCCCTAGGGTCCTAGGGCCCGGTGAAGGTCCCCAGTGGCCGAGAATGGCCAGAAACTTCGCGTCGTGTTTTTTTCACGACGCGAGGTGGTAGGCGTGTCCTGAGAAAGCCCCGCGGCGACCCCCCTCCCGCAGGACTCCCTGCCGGGCCTGGCCCGCGAGTGGCGCCGCCGCCACTTCGGCCGCCCCGGGACGAAGCTGGTGCCCTGGCCTGCTCCAACGCCCTCGTCCCCAGAAGCCCTCGCGCCGTCAAAGAACACGACTCGTTTTTGTTCCCCCATGTTTGGCCCCGGGGGGCCCTCGTGAAGCCCCTTGGCCATAAACAAAGCGGTCCAGGATGAAACACCCATCCCAGGGCGCAGTTCGAAATTTCCAGAGGCTCACGCCGTGGAAATATCATGACGTCGAGGGTCTGGGGCTCATTTCTCCTCCTTCCCTCTCTGTCGCACAACTCCTCGTTCTTTTTTTTACGTTCGGCAAACGTGACCTACCAGGCTTTTGCGTTCCTCTCTGCAAAAGACCAGAGAGTGCGGCAATCAGAAAAATGGAGAAGCCCGCGAGGGCATAAATAATTAGATCTGCAGGCGTCAAGCCAGGCATTCCCCTTCCACCCCTCCCCAGCACCATCCTCAAGCCCGACCCTCCCCACTAGCAAGTGCGGGGCATACAACACACATGGCCCATGTTAGGATGCCCTGAGCTCGATCTTGGACCAATGTAAAGATGCACATCGAGCTGACGTCACTGGCGAACAGGATGCTGTTGAATCGGCGTGCGCGCAGTAGCGCAACGTGCGCAGAAGCAGTGGTCCCACTGAGGGCGATATAGTATCAGATCACGCGCAACGGTGTGATTGGTTGAATGCTCCTCCTGCTCATCACCACACCGTCACCACCCCGACAGAACAAGGTCAGTCAGAGAGACCTGCGCGGATGAGAAACAGAAGCTAAATTGTGTTGTGTTCACGTGATAGTGGCAATTCCAATTTCTTAACTATGAGCGCATGGCACTGCGTAGACATGCAGATTTCGTACTCCTTCTCCCTCCCCCGCCTCCTCCTCCTCCGTTTCCTCCTCCTCTTCCTTCTCCTCCTCCTCCTCCTCCTCCTCCTCCTCCTCCTCCTCCTCTTCACATATGAACCTCCAAACGCCGCAAAATACAAGGACCCTCACCGAGGATAGGTATCAGAGTCAAGGAAACGATGCTTTGCTTGAAGCGGCGCTGTGCGTAACGAAGAAGAGCTGTGTGGCTTGCTCTCTCGCTGTGCTGTTTGCAGTACGTAGCTCCATCACCCCAGTGGCAGGCATCATCTAGCTAGGAACGTCGCCGCCTCATCTCCCCACGCCCCTCACGAGCCTACTGGCCTCACCGGGCATCTGGCGGTCGACTCGCGGTCGTCTCGCTCAGCATGTCAGTCTTCGACTGGCCAAAGCCGGGGGGTCTTAAACATTACGATATCGTTGTCCTCTCGTTTCTCAGTTCTTGCTGCTGGGCCCGCCCGTACCGAGGGTCTTCGCTGGAGGGCTGTCCTCTCTGAGGGTCTCTCTGCTGGAAGTCTGGCCGCACCGAGGGTCAGTTGGTAAACTATCCTCCGCCTCCGCTGCCGAGTCAAAGCAATCCAATCCTCGTCCACATCCCCCGCCTCCCCTTCTTCCTCCTCCGCGTGCTCCCTTCCTCTTCTCGGAATTAAAACTACAGAAGTATAAACTCTCGGAGGTCCGAGCGGATTTCTTGGATCGGCGCTTGGGCCTCCTGGCGGCGCCTCTGGCGCCGCCCCTGGCGCGCGGAGCGCGCCAGAGAGGGGAGACCAGCGACGGACGATCCAAGAAATCAGCTCGGACCTCCGACATGTTGCGCTTTGGTCATTTGTTGTTCCTCCATCCTCTGCACCTGCTCCCACCTCTCGTCCTCCTCCTGCTCAGCCCCAGCCTTCGGGCGGCCCGCTGCTTCCAGGCCCCGCGTGTTTCCTTTGCGCCTGCCTCCAGGGGCCGCTTCTGTCTGGCCCGAGGAGCCATCGAAGTTGGATCCAGAACGAACGCTGCTCCAGAAAAGAGGTCGAGCATTCTGGGGCCTGCTTGGGTGAAAAACTTCCAATGTCGGACGTTTGGCCCCTTTTCGGGTCGTCCCCAGATCCTTCGTCAGAGGATGGTCGAGACGGCGGGTTCCGAAGGACAATAACGGCCTAAACATAAGCGTTCGATATTCCGCGCAGAGTTCTTGGATCCGCGCTGGGCCCCCCTGGCGGCGCCTCCTGGCGCGGTCCCCGCGCCAGGGATGGGTTTCTAGCCCCAGATCCAAGAAATCCGCGCGGTCCGTCGAAAGTTTCTGTTTATGCCGTCTGTGGTTCCTCTATGGGTCCCCCTTCTGTGTCAACTCGGCGTCTGCGGAGCCCATTCGACCGCCGGATGGGCAGCCGAGTGGGCTCAATTCCTGGAATCTGCGCCCGTGTGGCCGTCAGGTTGGCTCGATCGTGAGTCCGTTCGGAAGCTGTTTGAGACCGAGCGCCAAATTGGCTGAGAAGAGATCGGGCCCTGGGATTGTCAACAAACTAATGCCCCGGGGTCGTGTTCACGTAGCAGCGCCTGGTGGGATGATCAATAAAGATCCGCCGCCCCCCCCCACAGCCCAAGAAGCCAGGTGTTTAATCGGCACCCCGTTTTGTCCGAAGCGTCATCCAGCATGCTAGATGATGATTAACAACTGCAGCAACGCCTGGGGAGATGAGCAGCAAAATCCCGCCCCCCCAGCCCTAGAAACTATTACGTATTTGAATCGCCCCCCCCCCTCCCTTGCCCCACAGTCGAAACCGATGGTAAGGATGGGCAACTTTCCCAAGGGTGCCCCTGCATCCTTGCCTCTTCGGTCCATACTTAACCACTCTATGGCCAGTCCCGCTCGAAAGAATTCAGAATGGGCGTCTAAGACCCTTGCATCCTTATCGCGCATCCTTACTATCAGTTTTGACTGTAGTCGCCATCCCGCGTGATATTCTGGATGCAAAGCCGACCCCCGGGAAGGGGCCGAGGTCTCCATGGGCCCACGGGACCAACAAAAATGTATGACGGCGGATGCTTGGGCCGCTGTCGTCCGCGCCAGCGTCGGGAGCCACGGCCCGCCCATGGGTTCCTGCATCCGTGCAGCCAAGACGCTGAAGAATGGACCGCTTCGGGTTCGGAAGGGACTCGCTGTCCCTTGCTGCATCTTGTGGAAGAAATCCCGGGGAGGCTTGTCCAAAGGGGTTTGTCTGGTGGGAATGTCCGGATCCCCGCCGGTTTGTCCAAGGGGTCGTCCAGGGTAGGCCGTTTTGTCGTCATTGATCACAGGGGTTGTTTGGGTTGACCAGGGGGTTGTCCGGGGATCTTTTTGATTTGATGCTTTCTCCATTGAGCACAGCAGATCATTCCGTGGATTCTCCTCTGGCCCTCCTCGTGCACCCAGGCTCTTGTTGTACCAGAAAGGGGCTTGATTCCTCATTGAGCGTTCATTGTTGCAGCAGTTGACTGTGCTCCCACGCCGAGGTTGCAAAGCGAGCGCCAGCTTCGACTGGACATCCGACCGCCCCTGCACGTGCGACAGGATCGCGTCGTGCATCGTCGCGGCGCCGACCCTGCCGCGGGCGTCCAGGGCTGAACGCCACCAGTGGCCCAGAACCGGCCGATACGGAGGCTCCCAAGAGGCCACCAAGCGTTTCCCAAGAGGCCCAAACATTCCTCGCAAAAGGCCCCCAAGAGCCTTCCGAAGAGACCCCAAGAAGCATCCCTGCGGACTCTGGCCCACGTCAGCGCCGTCGTCGTCGTCGTCGTCGTCGTCGTCGTCGTCGTCGTCGTCGTCGTCGTCGTCGTCGTCGTCGTCGTCGTCGTCGTCTCCCTTCAGGGTCGGTGGCACCAGCCGTAAGGCCTTCGCAATCGGCCGACTCGGAGCGATCCGCGCTGTCGGACAGCAGCTGATGGTGCGAGGTTGAGCGACCCACGCGGTGCCAGAAGCCGGAGTCGACGTCGTTACGGCACGGACTTGCCTGGCCAGACCCCCGACAAGAGTCCGAGAGTGTTCACGACGTGGACCCCCAGAGGTCTCGACCCAGTCCACGGGGCCTGCTGTTCATCCAGGGTCGTTTTTGAGGGTCCCGAGGCCCGGCGAGGGCCCCAGAGGCCGAAAGTAGCAAAAGTTTCAGTTGCTTTTGTTTCACGACGCGAGGGGGTCGAGGGCACGGACCTGCCTTTACTTGCTGGCTCGACCCTCTCCCCGCGCGCCTGCAGCGAGGTGCCACCGGCGCCAGAGGCGCACCAACTGAGACTGCATTTCCTCTACTCGTCCCCGCTGTCGTGGCTGCGCGCGGGCCAGCCGGCTGTCGAGGTCGGCCAGCTTGACGTCCACTCGGAGGCTCCCCCCCGATTCGGGGTCAGGAACATTAAGTGGGTCTTTTTGGAAGCTCAGTGCAACGTACATGATACACTTTTTCGCACTCTTCTAGATGCTACTACAGGCTGCTGAGGGCCACTAAAGGCTGCTAAAGGCGGCTATGAAAGGCCATTAAAGGCTGCCAGACATGCGATTAAAAGCTACCAAACCGAGGCGGTACATGCTAGAGTAAGCTTCCAAGAAGATTCACCAGCGGAACATGTTTGCAAACCTATGTTCGTAATCGCCATC